TACGCGAGGACCGCTATTTGCTTAAAGAGTGTTAAGGCTGTCTCTTATACACATCTAGATGTGTATAAGAGACAGATATATATATATATATATATATATATATATATATTGGTTGGTGTCAAACTCCCTCTCATCTTTTTGCCTGGGGGAGGGCAAGGGGATAGTCTGGACAATCTTTGGCACCACTACACCTGTCCGCATGGTCTGAATCCGGCTGTGTCCAGCCGTCTGGTCCTATCCGGAAGTCTGCATGGACCAGACACCAGTCTATCTGGATGTCCAGTTGGGTTCGGGTTCGGATCGGGGTTCAGGTCCAAGTCCGCGCCCGGCGTTACCATGGGTTTAGGGTTTTACGATCTTAGGGTCTAGGCTTCAGAGGTTAGGGTTGAGGGTTTAGGTTTCTTTGGGTGTAGGGTTACCCCTGCCCACCATGTCTTCCTCCTCCTCCTCCTCCTCCTCCTCCTTCCTGGCCCTCCATACCATCCTCCCTCGTCCATAGCCTGGTATGCCATTGCCAATATCCCCACCCTATCCTCTCTCGTCTACTTTCAATTTTAATCTGCTGGATTGTCCCCCCTAAGCATAACATTTTGTCAAACCATACCTATGTATCATAGAAAAACTTAATATCATCTCCCTCTTTCTCCTCCTCATCCAAGTTCACAATCTAACAGCGAACTTCCATCACAATCTTTCACAGATTCCCTATGTCCTGCTCAGTTATGCCATTGCATGCTCCTCCAGAACACCTTCCTTTCATGAATTTCCTCTCCCCTCATTATCTCTTTCTGTTGTTTGTTGCTAATTGGCCACATACTCATGCGGATAGCCACCACATAGATTATTACGTATTTTCATGTCACTGATACATCGTCGGGAGAGAGGAGGACGTGGGGGGGGGAAGAGATGGGCAGGGATGGAAGAAGTTGCTTCGAGCAAGGGAAAGGCCAACACCAGTCCTTCAGTCATGCGGCCAGATGCTACATGCAGAAATAGGACTTGTAGACACACATATTGGTGCGTAGCTGTATATCCACCTCACAGATTATTACTTGTTTTCATCGCGCTGATACATCTTTGGGAGAGAGGAGGATGTGGGGAGGAGAAGCCAGAGCCAGGGATGGAAGAAGTTGCTTCAGGCAAGGGAAAAGGCCAACACCTAGTTCAGTCTTTCACCCAGATGCTAAACGTGCAAATGGGGCTTGTAGACACACACACCGGTGTGCATACATGTACATCGACCTCACAGATTATCACTTATTTTCATCTTGCTGACGAATCTTTGGGAGAAAGGAGGAAGGGGGAAGGGGAAGAGACGAACAGGGATGGAAGAAATTGCGTCAGGCAAGGGAAAACGCCAACACCAGTCCTTGCGTCCTGCCCAGATGCTACACACAAATGGGGCTTGTAGACATACATACCGGTACATACATGTATATCCACCTCACAGATAATTACTTATTTTCATCTTGTTGATGAATCTTTGGGAGAGAGGAGGACGTGGGAGGGTAGAGGAGAGGGGCAGGAATGGAAGAAGTTGCTTCAGGCAAGGAAAAAGGCCAACACCGGCCCCTCAGTCGTACGCCCAGATGCTACATGCACAAATGGGGCTTGTAGACACACACTGGTAAATACGTGTGTACATTGTGTACTATTACTATGAATTTAGTATGAAATAGTATATGAATCCATTGACGGCAAGACCGGCTTAAAGATTGAAAATTGAATCCTCTTTAGTGGGAGTCGTTGGGGGAGCTGAAGGCAATGGTTTTTCTCCGTGATAACAAGATTCAAAAGTTGATGAATGTACCGCGATTCTGCGAGGCTGCGTACATATGATGTTGCATATCGCTCCTTCCTCTCTCTCCAACATATCATCCAGTATATACTGTGGAACTTGTGTTGTCTTTCCAGAACCCGTCTCCCCACTGATAACCACGACTCCCCATTCATGCAGGGCATGCAGCATCTCATCCTTAACCGCCAGAATTGGGAGGCTTAACCGTACTTCATGCATGGCCTGAGGAACAAAATATACCACGGCAAGTTGAAAACATGACAGATCAGATCTCAAAATCACGCCTTACATGGGCTTGAGACTTTGGAATCCATACATTTCCCATTGTTTACTCGTGCGTTAGAGTTTTTGCTTTCGATTTCTTTCCACTACTCCGTCTCGAGGTCAGCTTTGCATTCCTTGACTTTCTTCCACACAGTACACACGACAACATCTGTGAGACCACCACTGCGCAACCCAGGCGAGTCGAACACTGCCACATGAACGTGCTAGGGTGAAGCATGTGCAGGTGTGTTATGAACTTGGTTGTCTGACGATTTTCACCACCACTCACACACAGACAATCTCATACACGCCCATACATGCATAAAGACGAGGGGGAGAGGAGACAGAGTCCAAACTGCACACAGATCCAAGTAAGCAGCGAAACACAACCATGCACAGATGGGGTGAGACACAGTATTTCTCACTCTCTGACAATACTCCCAACAAACAATCACAAGAAGACACCTAAGAGGATAACAATAGGATTTACACTGATGATGGGCCAACTCGAACCAATTATCATTACAGACTTTGTTTCAGTATCTCGCCACCCTCCAAACTCCACACTCCACTCTCTACCCTACACCCAGTTAGTAGCGCAACACTGAGAAAGCCTCCCAGAGGCCAGCGCCAACCGCCCAGATGAAGAACAGGTCCTGGGATGAAGTCTTCAGTGCCAATGAACAACTCTGACGAGGAAACAGGCAGCTATGGCTGCCGCACCACTGACCCAGCCCTACTATCTCCAGATGCGAGATGGGCGACAGTGGTCCACCCACGAGTACCCAGTGAAGAGCCTCGGTCTAGCCCAGCCAAACGCAGATACCCCCAGGGGTAGATGCGCTATGATGCCCCAGCTATGGCAACCTCCAGAAGGCTGGCTATGGCTGCCGTCCACAGCGAGGGTCTCAGGATGCCGCCTGTAGACAATCACCACCACCAACTTGCTTGGCTCCGAAGGCTGCGTCCCGAAAATGAAAAGCCAGAAGTCCTCAAACTACAGGCTCAGTCCTATTAATAGACTAGCCTACTCTAGACCTAGACCTACTGGACCGGTACAGCATCAGTTTGGCCTGCTCGGCCTGGGCCCTACCCGGCTATACGGCGTCTAGACCGTCTCTACAGCCCAAGGCCCAGATGGGCCTGCTGTCCTAGTGATAGCCCGGGTCTACTGGGCAGTAACGGCTAAGGGGAACTCGGACCTGCAATTTTTGTGTAAATTGCAGATATGTTCCTCACGAATTTCCCTTAGGACTGGACCGGCGGTTAGTCCCTGACGCAAACAAAATTATGAATCTGACCCTAAAACCCGACTATACAACCTCGCAGTCAGATCTCGGCAGCAGAAATCAGCAAGTCATTGCAGGTGAATCAAACTGTGGACTACTGCCACAAAAAGCCTGCCGATGTCCCCATTGCTATGTGTATGTGCTGGATTGATAAGGCTATGAGTGGGGCGAGGAAACGAACGCATGAACAAAAAACAATTCCTCCAAAACGGAGTGGCGAGCCGGAAAACACCCATGCCGGTCGATCAGTGGCAGTGAGAAGATTGAATCATGTGGTCGTGGATGGCAAGTGTGCCCATGTTCCACATGCATACACCTGTCTCCCGCCCGCCAATCATAAAGGATCGTCATTGTAGCTTTGTATTCGGCGCAACTTTGGGCTAGATACAGCTACAATCACCATCAGGGTTGCATACCTGCCGACCGCCGAGCCCGACCGCCGAGCCCGACCGCCGACCGTACTGCAGTCGACCAGTAGGGCCGACCGGTCGGCGGTCTGCCGACCAGTCAGAAAACAACCATCCACTGTTTTTTTTTCAAAATCTGAGTTGGGCGCTGTACTGCACTCGCTGAGTACAACCCAAATCCGCTGAGAAACTTTTGGGGATGGGGGGGGGTATTGCGGGGTATAGGGAGGTATAGGGGTGGTATAGGGGGGATTTGGGGGGGTAATGAGGGGGTTGGGGGGTGTTGGGGGGGTGTTGAGGGGGTTTGGGGGGGTTGGGGGGGTGTATAGGGGTATTTGGGGCCGCTATGGGGGTGTTGGTGGGGTTGTTAGGGATTCTGGACCCTCTTTTTTTTTTTTTTTGGCGGGGTGCTGACGACCCCCAACCGCTAGGTGCCGACCAGTCCACCGGTAGGCTGGTCGGCAGCCAACCAGTCAAGGGCCGCCAACCGTCAAGGTATGCAACACTGATCACCATGCCTTATGTTCAGGTGAAGAAGGTGAAGCCGAAGATTGAATCGTGCTGTCGAGGATGGCAAGTGTGGCCATGTTCCCCATGCATACACCTCTCGCCCGCCAACCATTGCGGATAGTCGTTACATCTTCGTATTCACGGCAATTTTGCCCTAGATTCAGCTATAATCGCCATGCCTTATGTTCGGTGAAGAAGGAAGCATGCAAAAAAAATACTTGCCTGGTACTTGACGGAATTCAAAACAAGTCTCCGTTTCTCCTTTAGTCTCCGGCTTTGCGCTTTCAATCTTTCAGCTTCCATCTCGCTTTTCCTCTTGTCTACCTCCATAGAGGCAGCCATAGCTTCCCATTCCTCAGCTTTTGTCTTCGTATCCATACTCAACACCCTATTCTTTTCCTCTCCCTCTTTGATCCTTGGCTCTTCTATCTTGCCCTTTGCGGCAGAGGTGCCTGTACTTATGAGAGTGTTTATGAAGGCAGATCGACGAGCTTGTTCCTCTGCTGTCTCCTCCTTCAACTTCTCAACACCTGAAGCCGAACCAGTTAAAATTAGCTTTCAAGTTTCCAGTGGTGATCTTATTTCTGTATAAGCAATGTTCGATCAGCAGGAAACCAAATTAAACAAAAGTATGGCCGCTAACGCGCCCTAGCCAATGACCAAGCTGTTTGAGTCACTTCAAGTTTTCACCAAAGCAACCCGGGACCAGCCGTCATCATCATGAGCATCCACAAACCATCAACTTCTCACAGACATTTACTGGCCGTAACCCGCCCATTCCCTCCAGAGCCTCTGGGATGACGCACAACGAGAGTAGTAATTTACAACCTGCGCCGCACATCCCGCTCCAGTAGGCCCTGTGGTGCCCGCACACCGATTCCTGAAACGTTGTCCACAGCCAGCCTCGCACAGGAATGCGCAAAGTTGCAAACAAAACATGCATGTAGATGAGCTTGTCCTTTCCCACATGGTGAGATCCATCGGTCATGCAATGAACAGGATCTTCTGCCAAACGCCTTCACCCAAATAACGCCCAGGGCCCCAGGCATTGTATGCGAATATAACGCCTGGCGGGTGTTATAAAGCCCGGGCGTCATAATCAGTAAATTGGTCGCAACTTCGGTAAGCTCCCAATTTCAAAAAATTTGGGAAAACAAAACTGTAAAAAACAAATGCTGTCTACAAGTGCAATGCAACCAGCTTTTGGCTGAGGGTCACTTCAGAATTCCTAATAAATTCGGGGGGGGGAAAACAAAAAACAAAAAAGTTGAAAAAACAAAAAATCACACCAAAACATACCCCTTTAAAGTCACAACCCCTTTCAACCCCTTTAAAACCCACGTGTACCCCCGTTCCCCCCACTCTACAAGGCACTCTGCACATGACACAATCAAAGAAAACGCCCGGGCATTCTATCTGAATATAACGCCTGAGTGCCGGGTGTTATATTCAAAGGGGCATTGTATTTGGAGAAAAGTGAGTAGAAACAAAGAATCTATTTTTTTAAAGGTAAGTTGAATATAACCCCCGGGCGTTATTTTTGGATGAAAACCGTAGATGGTCAGACTCTTCCATGAAGGAAGCACAAATCACGTGGCAAGATAGTAGTCTTCTCGCTCAACTTTCTCTCTCTCTCTCTCTCTCTCTCTCTCTCTCTCTCTCTCTCTCTCTCTCTCTCTCTCTCTCTCTCTCTCTCTCTCTCTCTC